CCCCAAAACCCCAAAACCCCAAAACCCCAATCAGTTGGGTTGAAATAAATTATTTAGTAGAAAAATAAAATAATCAGATTAGATAGAGAAATTTAAAGTTCAAAATTAAATGAAAGTTTAAAAATTTTACTCATGATGGGAACTTAAGTTGTTTTATAAGATTAATCAATTATTAAAGTTATTTCAAAACTCCTCCAATTTTAGCATGCTAGATTATGTACTCGATAATAGCTATTAGCTCTGAGCAATTATTTAAAATGATTATAAAGGGACTTTGGTAATTAAGAAAAGTTATCGCACTTAACCTTTTTCTTTTTATTAGATTTTCTGATTATGCTAAGTTTTATCCCAGTACCATTTGTAGATCTAAACCCTTTTTAATTCAATTTTCGAACTAAGTTTTGTTATAAATTGTCTATTCCAATTAGGATTTTTATCGTATTCGACTTGCAGCTTGTTCAATTACTCTTAAGATTTCATTACATTTCTCTATTTTCTTACTTTTAGCTCTCTTAGTCTTCTTTTTCTCTTTATTTATTGATTTTACTTTTGACGCTTTTTAGTATTTTAATTTTATAAATCATTCTCAATGTTCTAATTTCCTGATGTAGATTTTTTAGCTTAATTATCACTATCATGACTTACTTTACTATTTTCAACGATCTAAAGCGAGTGAATATATGGCTCAATCTCTTGTTTGTGATCACTATATATTAATTGATTATTTTTAAGATTATTATTATTCAGAGTCATAATCTCAGTTTTTAGGTGCTCATCAGTCTGTTGATTATTATAGGAATGAAAGTTTGCAAAGCAATGAGAAGTCTAAGAATAAGATCTGTTAGAGCACAATGAAGAATTTAACTTTTCATCTAACATTTGTATACTCAGAGGTACTACCTAATTATTCATTACCTTTTAAGGTTCTTTTAATTTGATCCCACAAGTGAGATGTGCTTTTACTTATATTTGCAGTCTTTGAACATATTTATCTATGAGCTTTTCAGAAATTATCAATTATTTTTCCTGGACTTAGGTACTTATTGTATTAGTATTCTATTTTTTCTCTCTTATCAGAGTTTGGAAATGCTTTTTAGGGCAACTGCTTGAATTCTGATGACTCACAGGAATTCCACTCATCACCAGAGTTTATTGTAATGGATCTGCTTAAAACTATTCTTACAGATGTGATTGCGAAAGATCTTGACAATTTTCAGCAAAATTATGCAGTTCAGATAGTACTTTCTTATCATTTATCATTTACTCTTATTGAATTCTATCGATAATCATACTTTTGATTGAAATTAGCATATTCTGGACTTAAAACAGGTTAAAAATGAAAGTAAGTTTTAGTGAAGGATTTCAAATATTTATTATTAATATCAATTTGACTCAAGTTTAATCTCAGTCTGACCTATAATTTATTCGATTTATTTATTATTGGTTTATATTTACTTTGATGTCATGATAAAAAGGATTAGGGGGTTTTGGGGTTTTGGGGTTTTGGGG